ATAATAACCGTTAGAAGTGACTAAAAATATTCTATAATAATAACAGATATATATTGAAAATTACCTCGGGAAATTTATGCTGACAGTTGATACTAGCTTTGTCACTAGTTTCTTTCAATTGTGAACTGCTCTTTTCCGCCATATATCTCTCTTTATCCTTCTGTAATTCACGGACTTGAGCTTGTAAATCCTGCAATGTTTGCATCACTTCTGCATTGCTAGGATTTCTTCTCCTTGGATGCTTATACAAAGAGGTTAGAGTCACACCATGACCTTTACCCCTCACCTGACCCGGATACTCAGCAATAGAAACAAGGACATGTCATTCGACTGGGGTCTTCGGCGTGCGCAACAGCAAACTTAACGAATTCCGATACCCTGTTCTCGTACTCTTTCGAAAATCAATTGGAATACATCCATGTCTTATCCATGGTTTACGGTTTCTGAGTCAATCTGAGCTAAATGATAAATTCGAAAACAAAACCAATACTCAAAACTTGCAATTGCACTTGCTCTTGCACAACCATATAACAAAACCAATACTCAAAACTTTTCACTAAATTCATTTTATTCTATCAACTACTTTAGTACACAAGTATAATACATTCTTACCAAGAAAAGAGACGAGTAGAACACATAAACAAGAAACCATCATTGCTCAAAATCAATCATAAAAAGCACGCGAAAAAAACAATATATTAATAGAGTTAACAATATGGCTACCTTTATTAAATATTTTGTTACGCTTTCTATTATTGCTCTCTTAGCTTGTTTTACCAATGCACAACTTGTTAATGTAAGTCTATATAATTAATTAAGCATTTTTTTTATGGTTCACAATAATATCATAGTATTATTTCAATGCCTCTAAAGAAGTCATGTTCTCTGTACATGAAAGAACCAATAAAACACAACAAACCAAACACCCATGACATAATTAAACGTAAACAAAGACACTCTCTATTATGTGTGACACTCTCCATTATTTCTCTCTTAGCATGTTACTCTCCATTATTTCTCTCTTAGCATGTTACTTCCATGCACAACTTCTTAATAACTTCTATGACAGTAGAAACCATGCTTGCTCAAAATCATTAACCAAACAAAAGAACACGAAAACCAGACAAACACATACGAGATGAGGAAAAAAATAAAACCTAATACGAATTGCAGTTGGCCGGAGAAGTGGAGCACCGTTGACCGCCGTAGAAGCTCTGGTTTAGGGTTTTTTCGTGAAGAAAATCTGACTGAGAATAGAAAAGTGATACGAATTGTGTTTTGATATTTATTATAAAACTACCTACGAAAGCGCTTTTAAAAATGCTTTCTAAAGGTCATCTATAACAGCGCTTTTACATCAAAAAGTGCTTTCGTAACATATCTTATAGCAGCGCTTTTAAAAGCGCTTTCTAAAGGCCAGCTTTAGCAGCGCTTTGGAAAAACGCTTTCTAAGGCTGATCTTTAGCAGCGCTTTTGAAAAGCGCTTTCTTAAGGTACCCTCTGAAAGGCCAGCTTTAGCAGCGCTTCCCAAAAAGCGCTTTCTAAGGGTGACCTTTAGAAGCGCTTTTGAAAAGCGCTTTCTTAAGACACCATTTGAAAGTGCTTTTTTAAGCGAATTTTTTTTAAAACCTACAGCAGCGCTTTTTTCCAAAAGCGCTTTCTTTTATGTGCTGCTAAAACTTATTTTTGGCGCAGTGATTCCTCTACAATGACGTCTCTGCTGAACTCAACTTTGTTAGTTTCTAGACAATAAAGTTTGCACGAACCCGTACTGTGATACCTCACCAACATCACTTTACTTCTATCATCCAGCTTATGTCTTCTGGCTTCTGGGACATGTTTGTAACATATATAACCAAATACCTTCAGATGACTAACACTTTGCTTATCTCCAGTCCACTTATGAATAGGAACTATTTCCTTTAATTTCTTTGTTGGACATCTGTTGAGCACATAACATGCAGTTGCAACAGCTTCTCCCTACAGAGTATGAAAAAGCTTCTTCTTTTTCAGCATGCTTCTCACCATATCTAGCAAAGTACGATTTCTTCTTTCAGCAAGACCATTATGTTAAGGAGTATATGGAGCAGTAACCTCATGCTCAATTCTATTCTCCTCACAGAAACTTCTGAATTTTGTGGAGTTATACTCACCACCACCATCAGTTCTAAGAATTTTCAGAGTCTGGCCACTCTGATTCTCAGCCTTCAGTCTGAACCTTTTGAATTTAACAAACACCTCGTGTTTGAACTTTATGAGAGATACCCATGTCATTCTGGTGAACTCATCAACAAATGACACAAAATATTTATTCCCTCCAGTCGATGCTACTGAAAACGGATCACACACATCAGAATGTACTACTCCCAAGGCATGTTTTGCTCTTGGAGCTACTTCTGATGCAAAGGGTAATCTTGGTTGCTTCCCTTCCATGCACACCTTGCATGACTTTTCATGCTTCTTGATTGTAGGAATTCCATGTACCAGATTCTTTGATTTCAGATGCCCTAAACTTTTGAAATTCAGATGACCAAATCTTCCGTGCCACAACTCACTCTCCTTGACAACACTTGTTGCACTAAGACATTCAGAGTCTGCAGTTCTAACATTCACCTTGAATGTTCTGTTCCTTCCCTGTTCTGACTCCATAATCAACTTCTAATTACAGTCATACAACTTCAGAAGATTGTCCTTCATGGTAACTGAAAAACCTTTCTCAACCAGTTGTCCCACACTCATTAGATTGCTTTTCATGCCAGGTACATACCAAACATTTTGGATCACAACTGCTTTCCCATTGTTTAGAATGATTCTGACATTTCCCATACCTTTTGCATTGAGGTATTTATCATCAGCACATCTGATCTTTGTACTCTTCCGAGAGTCAAAGTCAACCAACTACTTCTTGTTTCCAGTAAGATGGTTTGAACACCCTGTGTCCATATACCACCATTCTGATGAATTCAGATCATCAGGTTCAGAAGCCAACAATAGCACAGGTTCATCATCAGAGTCTCCTCTTGCTATATTTGCTTCTTCTGACTTCCTTTCTTTGTTGGACCAATAATCTTTGGCATAGTGACCAAAGTTCTTACAACAGTAACACTGAACATTCTTTTTGTCAGACTTCTCCTTTCCCTTCTGGACATTCTTCTGTCTATCAGAGTTTGAAGCTTCTGACTTTTGACCACCATTAGTTCTCTTCCTGGCTTCTGACCAAGTCTGCTTCTGATGCTTCTTACCAGAAGTTACTTTCAGAGCCTGCTGCTCTACTTCCCTCTCAGAAGTTCTTGCAGTCATACGCAACTCATGCGCCTCTAGACTACTTTGCAGCTCTTCAACTCGATATTTGGAATGTCCAATTGCTAAAACAATGTAATCAAACTGAGAAGTTAAAGATCTCAAGATCTTCTCAATAATTACTTGTTCAGACAGAGTTTCTCCACAAGCTTTCATCTCATTAGTAATCAGAATCACTCTAGAGATGTATTCAGAAACCTTCTCGTTGTCCTTCATGTTGAGATTCTCATATTACTTTCTGAGAGACTGAAGCTTCACCTTCTTCACTGATGCGTCACCACCGTAACATCTGACCAGTGTGTCCCACGTAACCTTTGTTGTTTCAGAATCAACAATCTTCCCAAACACATTCACATCTACACATTGATGGATGTAAAATAACGCTTTCCGATCTTTCTTCCTCAGCGCCTTTTGTGCTATCTTTTGGGCCTCTGTTGCGTCTGCTTCTAACATATTATAGCCATCAGTGACAAGATCTAACACATCTTGAGAACCAAATAACACGCGCATTTGGATGTTCCAACGATTCCAGATTTTGCCATCAAATACTGGAAGCTTGGAATGAATATCGTCGTTTCCGTTCATCTTCTACCTTGTGCAATTTACGCAGAAACTCAATGAAAAATCAATGTTTTCCAAATTCCAGAGTTTCTAACCAGAGCTCTAGATACCAATTGTTGGAGCACAAGGAAGATAAAAAGCAAAAAAAATATTTACAAAAATAAGGATTTACAATGAATTACAATACCCTACTCCACTAGGCTATTTATACACACAAATTAAATCTAAAATATATATTCTACAAAGATATAAGAAAATCTAAAATATATATCTTCTAACAAAGATATAAACAATCTAAAAGATATTCCTAAATATAAACTAATATCTAATTAAATCTAAATTAATTCTAACAAAAATGTCTAAGTATTAATTTTAATAATAAAAATGAAAATAAAGTAGAAAAAAAATAACAATAAATAATTATAAGGTAGTAACAAATTATTTCAAAATCTTTTGAAAGAAAAATCAAAATCTAATAATTTTCTTAAAAGTGAACGCTTGAATAGTTCTAAATTTTGTTGGATAATCAAATAAGGTTATTAAATAATACATATTTTTTGATATTATTTTATTTTAAAATAAATTAAAATTAAAATTAATTTCTACTAAAAGTATCATTATCCAATTAAAACTAATGGTACCAAAGAATTTATGTTTTTTTTAAGTCTGTGTTAAAAAACCACTAAAAAAATACTCATTTAAATTAAAAAAACTATCAATACCTTAAGTGTAACTAAGAATATGAAAATCAATTTTATCTTATAAAATTAAGAACATAAAAATAACTTTATCAAAAAGAAATGAAAATAAATTCCACATTTCTAGAATCAAATTCTATTTTAAAAAAAATCACATTTCTAGAAGCATATTGATATTTATTTTTCACATTTATTATCAAACACTAAAAAGTAACTTGTGAGTCTCTTAACTCAAACATTGTTCGAAATAATTTGGCATACTTCGACAAAACAAAACCCAACCACATACAGCCACGTCACAACACCCCTTCACGGTGACTCCACCGTAAAGCAACCCTCCTCCTCTAATTTTCCGATCTATTTCACTCCACCTTATTGCCACCACCACTCTCTCTCTCTCTCTCTCTCTCTCTCTCTCTCTCTCTCTCTCTCTCTCAAGCAATGACGGACCCAATCAAACCTTCCACCTCACGTGGAAGCACCGTGATCCACCCACGACGCGAGCCATTCGAGTTCGGTCTCTTACCAATCCCAAAGCTCATCTTCTCCGACCCCACACAATCCCTAATCACATTGAAACAGAACCTTCTCGACTCGTCCTCCAACAATCGAGTCGACTCAGCTACAATCTCCGATTCGCTTCAGATCTCCGCCGACCAAGCTACACTCCTCCTCGACACGCTCGCCGCCGTTCACCACTCCGATTCTGAGCCTCTTGTTAGGGCTCAGCCTGGAAAAAACGACGCCGTTGGCGCTGACATTCACGATATGATTCTGCTGCTTTACATTCAATCGTATAAAAGATTGCTTCCTCGCTCTCATAAGGACTCTGCTTCTGTTGCTGATGTTTGGCCTTCTACTTCTGCTTTCGATGGTTACTTTTCTGCTCTCTCTCCTCTTCAGGTTAAGCTCATTTCTCAATTTTGATTCTCAATCCTTGCAATGCAATCCAATGCATGAAATGTAGTTAAGTTTGAGTATCAATTATCGTAGTATTTTTATGCCGTTTGAACTCTGTAGCACCACACCTCTGGAAAAAAAAGGCCGTGTCTGGGTCAGTAGCCGAGTGATTACGTTTAATTTATTATTTTTTCAAATTATTACTGGTGTCGACGTGTCAATATCAGTGTCTCTCAACCTTGATATATTTTAGTTTTTGGATATAGCATATGTGATTATGGCTTTTATTTTTGTTCTATTTATGTTTTTCCATGTGAAGTTGCTAATAAGCTTGTTTTAATTCTTTAAGCTTTTTGTTGGCTGAAAAAAATGGTTTTTCAGTTTACTTCAGAAGTTTTCTTAGATAAGTTTTGATTAACCCGAGAACATGAGGAAAAAATATGGTACAAGTTTTTGAATAATTTAGTACTGATACGCTTAGCAAAATAGTCTATTTATATGCATGATAAGTACGATTTAGGAGAATAGGAATTAAGTTTAAACCTAGTATTAACTCATGAGATACAATGGGTCTAAGAATGCAGTGAAACCTATGATTCAATGATTTCTAATTATTTGTAGAAAGTGGAACCGTAATTTATGAGCTATTTTGTGCTTGCTAATATGGATAGACATTAATACTGTTGATGTTGAATAGTGTTAGTTGTGACGTGTCAAATTCAATGTTTTGCAGCTTATGCGCAGCAACAGTCGGCGTTTTATGCCCTCGCAGGCTGATGAAGAGGCACATCAGTTATTGTATCTACAAAAGCACATGGCTAACATTCTATCACTTCTAGCAGAGCCAGGCGAGAGTCAAGGGGAAGGCAAAGAATCTCAGGTTGGTTTGTTGATTTACTCTGTGATACTCATGGTTTTGTAATTTTACCAATGATGGATTATTTGATATCTATTTTATAAAATGAAATACAACCAGTTAGTCACTCTGATTTCCATGACTAGAATCAATATCGCGTTTCGATGTCATCCCATGGAAGTTGAGGGATCATAGAATTATATTACTTGAATGATTGTTATGGAAAATGTTGCATCTAGATTCATGATATAGCATCAGGCTACTAAGCACGAATCCTGACATTCACATTGAGAGTTAACTTGTGTCTTATTTTTGAATAGTGAATCGAATCTTATCAATAAAAATATGGTGTTTTTTAAAAATAAAAAACAAGTGACATGACAAAATTATAAGCTGAAACATCATATACTAACATCAAAATAATTTAATATCTTCATTAAAAAATATAGAAAAAGAAGCATGTGTGGTGAGTGTAAACTAGTTTTAGATAGACATCCAACTAAAATTGACAGTTGGTAGTTATTTTTTAAAGATGGTTATAATATAGGCTTACACAGCAATGCAACAGCTCTCATTGGATGATGGTGTAAAACTATTTGACACTGTCAAAGCATGTTCATTAAACTCTAATAACAATAACAATAATAATAATAATAATAATAATAATAATAATAATAATAATAATAATAATAATAATAATAATAATAATTCAATATTCAAACCATGAATCAAGTAACATCAGAAAAATGGCTGGCTGTAAAAAGTTGACCAAAAAGTGGGTGACTAAACTAAGTTTATGTAGTGATTCATTAGAATTAATGAAATTCATCAGTGAATCAGGATTGTCATAGGGAACCAGAATCCAAGATGAGATTTATGACCATAATAGATACACACTAGGGATTTGAACCAATTGGGATCGTTTTTGTATTGAATTAAGATACGACTTTTATGTGTAGTAAGATATTGATTACATGCTGAAGAATCCTTGCGGAAGGTAGAAGACATGTGATAGATACGGTATAGTTTATACCAGAAAGTGCAGAAATAGAGGGAGAGAAGCACAAGATCAGGGCCATGTAACTAATTCATCTAATTAAATGCAGCAAATATGACTGATTCATCTAATTGAATGCAACAGATATTACTGATTCATCTAATTGGATGCAGCAGATACAATTGATTCATCTAATCAAATGCAACAGATATGACTGTCAGATGACAGTGAGAGAATAGGGCTCTAGATCCTATTTATAGGTAACAAATCATGGGAATTAGGGGAAATTATTCAGATTGCAGTGAGTGCATAGGAGTGCTAAGCAGCTCGAAATGCTTACCCTATTTTAATTTACAGTATTTCTTTATCTCTTTCATAGTGTATTGTATACATGGTTAGATCCCGTTTGATCTATAATATCTTATTTCCTAAATAATACAATATTACTTTTCTTTCTTTTGAATTTTGTGTTGTGATTTCTATTCCTAGACCCATTGGATCCTATCAATTGGTATCCAAAGCCTTGGTTAGATCTTCATCAATTAATGGTCGTGACGACACAAAGCATTATGGATAATAGAATTGAACTCGTAGAACAGAAAACGAGCGTGATGGAAGCAACAATGGAACAAATGCGATAGATGATGGTAGAAATACACTCACGTCCCCAGATATTGTTGGATCAAGTTCGTCAACTTATTGTTGAAACACAACCTCGCCGTCGTCAAGGGCGTAATCGTAACCACGAGAAAGACGAGTGGAGCGATCAGAGCGCCGACTCGTCAGGATCACGACGTCGCCTAACACATAACAATGATGGTCACCGTTTGGGTTTGGGAGGAAGTAGGAGACGATTAGAGATTTCGATTTTCAAAGGGGAGGATGCGTATGGGTGGTTAGTACGAATGGAACGTTATTTTAGGTTGAATGAAACACGTGTGCAGGACAAGGTGGATACGGTGGTTTTGGCGCTAGAAGAGAAGGCTTTGAATTGGTTTCAATGGTGGGAGGGGCAAACACCATTGAGAACGTGGGAAGGGTTCAAAATAGTAGTCCTTAGAAGATTCCAACCTGGGTTACTGCAGAACCCATTGGGACCATTGTTGAGTTTGAGGCAAAAGGGTAGATGGAGTACAGGGACAAGTTTGAAGGACTTGTAGCACCTCTTCGTAGGGAGGAAAGGGTGATGTTGGAGTCAATTTTTTTAAATGGCTTGAAGGAGGAAATTCAAGCAGAATTAAAATTATATGAGAGCCATGACTCAGCTGAATTAATGGACGGGGCTTTACTCATTGAAGAAAAAAATGAAGTGGTTTGGAAGAGAGGAAATGGTTGGAGGGATAAGGGAGGTACCACGAGGTTCAAGTGTCAACAGAATTATTGGCAATAATGAGCTAATTATTAGAAATAATTCTGTTGAGATTGTACATTTATTTGTAATATTTATTCTCTTAATTAACATAATTAGCTGTAAATGTAAATATGACAGTTTAGCTTATTTAGTGGGTTGAAATTCAACCTGACAGCTTGTAAGTACAGTATTTATATGATAGATCAGAATGAAAACAGAGATACAGTTTTTTGGCCAAATTCTTTCTTAGTTAACATGGTAGCAAACTAGGTTAAAATCCAAGAACCTAATATGTTTTTTTTTCCTCACGATCTCGTTTCATTTTTATTCCTGTTCTCATTTTTTCTCTTCTGTTTCTCGCTCAATTCGTCGTTCTTGTTCAATTCATATTTCCATAGATCCATGTCTACCGAAAAACACAAAGTCTCGTTGGTTCGCCTTAATGGCAAAAACTACTCTGCTTGGGCATTCCATTTCGAGATTTTCGTCACAGGAAAATATTTGTGGGGTCATGTCGATGGCAACACTCCAGCCCCTGACAAAGACAAAGATAAAGTTGCACATGCCAAATGGATAGTCAAAGATGCTCAAGTCATGTCCTGGGTCCTAGGCTCTGTTGATCCAACATTGTCCAGAATCTTCGACCTTACAAAACAGCAGCCACAATGTGAAATTATTTGAAGAAAGTCTACAATCAGAACAACGCCGCTCGAAGATTTCAGCTTGAACACGACATAACTCTCTTTAAACATGATAGTCTCTCCATCTCTGATTTTTACTCTCAATTCATGAATTTGTGGACTGAATACACCGATATAGTTTATGCAGACTTGACTCCTGAAGGTCTAAGTTCTGTACAATCTGTTCATGAAACTACTAAACGAGATCAATTTCTTATGAAATTGAGATCTGAATTTGAAGGCATTCGGTCCAATCTCATGCATCGAAACCCTGTCCCATCATTGGATGCGTGTTTCAATGATCTGTTACGTGAAGAACAACGTCTCCTTACGCAGTCTATCATTGAAGATAAAAAATTATCTACTGTTCCAGTGGCATATGTAGCACGAGGAAAGTCAAGAAGTCATGACATGAGTTCTATTTAATGTTTCTGTTGCAAACAATTGGGACACTATGCTTCAAACTGTCCAAATTTTTTTTGCAACTATTGCAAAATAGATGGACATATTCTTAAGGAATGCCCGATCAGGCCACCAAAGAGAAATGTCACAACTTTTACCGCCTCGGTTGATTCATCTATTCCTAACAATTCAGCCAATCCAGCACCGGTTCAACAAAATGCTTATACTACTACTTCAACAGTGACCCTTTAAATGGTTCAACAAATAATCGTTTCAGCATTCTCTGCTCTAGGAAATCAAAAAATATTTTGGAAATCTCAAGATACATACTGCTGATGGAAATCAATTGCCTATCACATCCACTGGTGATATTTCTTCATCTCTAACAAATGTTTTTGTCTCTCCTGGTCTCACTAGTAATCTCATTTCAGTTGGTCAATTAGTTGAGAATGATTGTCAAGTACAATTCTCACAATCTGGTTGTCTTGTGCAGGACCAACAATCAGGGAAGATAATCGCGAAGGGGCCTAAAGTTGGACGTCTTTTCCCAATTCAGTTCTCATTGCCTCTAAGTCTTTCTCTTCCTTTAGTTTCGTGTAATTCTGCTATTGTTGATTACCAAGTGTGGCATAAGCGTCTTGGACATCCAAATGCAAATGTATTTCATGACTTGCTAAAATCTAGTTTTCTTGGAAATAAACACATTCCATCTCTTAATTCTGTTCATTTTGATTGTATTCCTTGTAAGCTTGGTAAAAATAAATTTTGCCTTTTCCAACACATTAGTCTAATGTAACTCAACTTTTTGATATCATCCACAGTGATGTTTGGGGCGTGGCACCAGTTATATCTCATGCTAATTACAAATATTTTGTAACTTTTATTGATGATTATAGTCGTTTCACGTGGGTCTATTTTTTGCGATCAAAAGATGAAGTCTTTTCCACTTTCAAATTTTTTCATGCTTATCTTCAGACCCAATTTTCATCAAAAATAAAAATATTTCGCTCTGACAATGGAGGGGAATAGATGTCACACTCATTTCAGGAATATTTGCAATCCAATGGCATTATATCTCAAAGGTCATGCCCCTCAACTCCACAACAAAATGGAGTAGCGGAAAGAAAAAATCGTCATTTGCTCGATGTTGTCCGCACCCTTTTGTTGGAGTCTCATGTGCCTTCACGATTTTGGTGTGAAGCCCTTTCCACCGCTGTCCATCTTATAAACAAAATGCCTTCTCCGTCAATAGGTAATGAATCCCCCTTGATTCGGTTATATGGTCACCCACCAAATTACTCCACTCTTCGTATCTTCGGTTGTGTGTGTTATGTTTATCTTACTCCACAGGAACGCACCAAGCTCACTGCACAATCTGTTGAGTGTGCTTTTCTCGGATATTCTCCTCATCAAAAGGTCTTTCTATGTTATGATCCTAACCTTCGTAGGATTCGTGTATCTAGAAATGTCATTTTCCTAGAAAATAAATATTTTTTTGCATCACATCATGACTCCGTCTCTTCTCCAGTTTCTGTTTTGCCATTGTTTTCTAACTCTCATTCAGGTCAACAATCTTCTAAACCTCTCTTGACCTACAAAAGACGTAGTGCTACCACTCAAAATCAACCAACACATGGGCCACCTCAAGATAATTCCTTGGTTGCTGGTCCAGTAGAAGAAGAACCAGAACCAGCTCCTCTATGACGCAGCTCACGCGATAAAAAAACCCCAGAAAGGTATATCAATTGCATGACAACATCATTATCTTCTATTCCTATTCCTTCATCTTATAAACAGGCCACGGAGAATGATTGTTGGCAGAAAGCTATTGAAACAGAACTTCTTGCCCTCTTGCCCTGGAAGAAAATCAAACTTGGGATATAGTGCCATGTCCCTCATTCGTTAAACCTTTAGGTAGCAAGTTTGTGTTCTCCATAAAGCTGCGCTCGGATGGATCCATAGATCAATACAAGGCTCGTTTAGTTGTGCTTGGAAATAAGCAAGAATATGGACTTGACTATGATGAGACGTTTGCTCCGGTTACCAAGATGACAACTGTACGCACTATTCTTGCTATTGCTGCGTCACAAGCTTGGCCACTACATCAAATGGATGTTAAAAACGCATTCCTCCACGGTGATCTTCAGGAGGAAGTTTACATCAAACTTCTTAATGGTATGCCTACACCTTCACCTAATACTGTTTGCAAACTAAAACGATCTTTATATGGATTGAAACAGGCACCGAGAGTTTGGTTTGAAAAGTTTCGATCGACACTACTTGGTTTTGAATTCAACCATAGTCAGTATGATCCATCTCTTTTCCTACAAAGGACTCCTAAAGGCATTGTGGTGCTTCTTGTTTATGTGGATGACATTGTCGTCACAGGTTCTGATCAAGATGCTATTTCTAGAATCAAACACTTGCTGCATTCAACTTTTCAAATGAAAGAGTTAGGCCATTTCACTTATTTCTTGGGTTTAGAGGTGCATTATCATTATGAAGGTGTTTTTCTAAATCAACAAAAATATATTCAAGACTTGGTACATCTAGCTGGACTCACAAATGCAACCCCTGAAGACACTCCCATGGAAGTTAATGTTAAATATAAAAGAGATGAAGGTGACCTTCTTGATGATCCCACTCAATATCGCAAACTGGTAGGAAGTCTTATCTATGTCACTATCACTCGCCCAAATATTTCTTTCGCTGTACACACAGTTAATAAGTTCATGCAAGCTCCACGACATTTCCATCTTTCAGCGGTACAACGAATCATTAGATACCTCCTTGGCACTCCAAAGCGAGGCTTATTTTTTCCTGTTGATTCATCAATCAAACTCCAAGCATATAGTGATGCCGATTGGGCTGGATATCCAGACACAAGAAAATCTACTACTGGCTGGTGTATGTTCCTAGGAAATGCTCCTATTTCATGGAAATGTAAGAAACAAGATTCAGTCTCAAAGTCATCCACTGAAGCAGAATATTGCGCAATGTCTGCCGCTTGTTCTGAAATAATATGGTTGCGTGGTCTTCTTAGTGAGCTTGGATTCTCTCAACAACAACCAACTCCGCTGCATGCTGACAATACCAGTGCCATTCAGATTGCAGCAAATTCAGTTTACCATGAACGGACGAAACACATCGAAGTTGATTGTCACTCTATTCGAGAAGCCTATGATAGAAGAGTCATAAATCTACCACATGTCTCAACATCTATTCAAATAGCTGACATTTTCACTAAAACCTTGACACGTCAGCGACACAATTTTCTACTTGGCAAATTGATGCTTGTAGATTTACCAGCATCAATTTGAGGGGGGATGTCAACAGAATTATTGGCAATAATGAGCTAATTATTAGAAATAATTCTGTTGAGATTGTACATTTATTTGTAATATTAATTCTCTTAATTAACATAATTAGCTGTAAATGTAAATATGACGTTTAACTTATTTAGTGGGTTGAAATTCAACCTGACAGCTTGTAAGTACAATATTTATATGACAAATCAAAATGAAAACAGAGATACAGTTTTTTGGCCAAATTCTTTCTTAGTTAACATCAAGGACCCTGGTGAGTACAATGGGTTAAGAAGGAGAATGAGAAGAGTGGTTCAGTGACTACTGATAAGCCAAAAGGAAGAAGACTTAACCCTGCCGAATTGGAGGAAAGGAGTAAGAAGGGACTGTGTTTCAAGTGTGGGGATAAATGGAATAGGAAACATGTGTGCAAGTTCAAGCACATGCAACTGAAATTATGTGAAGCAAGTAGTGAAGAGGAGGAAGGAGAAGACTGGGGGACATAGCAGAAGGAGGAGGGTGAAACAGTAGAGGAGTTAAAGACTTTACAACTGTCCTTGCAGAGTAAAGAAGGATTCACTTCCAGCAAGTCTTTTAAGGTGTGGGCTGACATAGGAGGCAGAAGGGTGTTGACATTGATAGACTCAGGAGCTAAAAGCAATTTCATAGCTTCTAAATCACGGGGTATGTGAAGAGTTGGAATTCAACATCCAAGATGTTAAGTTCCAACAACATTTTTTTATCATGGAACTTAGTGGTTCAGAGATGGTGTTAGGCATGGACTGGTTAGCAAGTCTAGGCAACATAGAAGCAAATTTTGGCAACTTATGCTTGAAGTGGGAAGTGTAAGGGAACAAGCATATTATTCAAGGAGATCCATCCATGTGTAATAGCCAAGTAAATTGGAGAACCATGTTAAAGGCTATTTCTAAGGAAGGGATGGGATTCTATGTGCAAGAAGTAGAAGGAGAGTTGAAGGACAAGATAAATCATGGAATTACTTCTGCCTGGGAAGTAGTGGCAAGATTTGAAGATGTGTTCAACTATGAGGTTGCTACCACATAGGGAACATGATCATGCTATAGTATTACTACCAGATGCAGTTATCCCTAACCTAAGGCCATACATATATCCATTTTACTAGAATAATGAAATAGAGAAAATGGTAAAAGAAATGATGCAGGCTGGAATTATCAGGCATAGCACAAGCCCTTTCTCAAGTCTTATTCTGTTAGTAAAGAAGAAAGATGGAGGTTGGAGGTTCTGCACTGACTACAGAGCTTTAAACAAGGTAACTGTGGCTAATAAATTTCCCATACTTGTGATTGAAGAGTTACTAGATGAATTAGGTGGTGCTACCGTATTTTCTAAATTGGATTTAAATTCTGGTTATCACCAGATTAGAATGAAAGAATCAGATATAGCCAAAACTGCTTTTAGGACCCATGAGGGGCCACTATGAATACTTAGTCATGCCTTTTGGCTTGACCAATGCTCCCTCTACATTCCAAGCATTGACCAATGCTCCCTCTACATTCCAAGCATTGATGAATGAGATGTTAAGGCCGTATTTGAGAAAATTCGTATTAGTCTTTTTTGATGATATTCTCATTTACAACACCAACAAGGTTGAACATGTATTACATTTAACAAAAATTCTGCAAACTCTACAAAGTCACAAATTGTTTGCAAATAGAAAAAAATGTTCATTTGGCCAGGCAGAGATTGAGTACTCGGGCCATATTATTTCTGGTGGGGGAGTATCAACTGATCCTAAGAAAATAGAAGATATGTTAAAGTGGCATATTCCTAAGGATTTAAAAGGGCTGAGGGGATTTTTGGGCTTAACTGGCTACTACAGGTGATTTGTCAAGAACTATAGCAAAATAGCTTGGCCATTAACACAGTTACTGAAGAAAGATAATTTTAAATGGGGTGAAGAACCCCAACAGGCCTTTGAAATCTTAAAGAGAGCAATGACCACTATGCCAGTCTTAGTTATGCCAGATTTTAAGAAGGATTTCGTGTTAGAAACTGATGCTTCTGGCCATGGGATAAGTGCAGTGTTGATGCAGGAAGGAAAACCAAAAGCATACATGAGCCAGACCTTATCTGTTAGAGCCCAAAGTAAGTCTGTGTATGAGAGGGAACTTATGGCCATAGTAATAGCTGTATAAAAATGGAGACCATATCTGCTGGGAAGAAAATTTCAAGTTAACACAGATCAAAAGAGCCTAAAACACATCACTGAACAGAAATAGATGGGTGAAGATCAACAGAAATGGATAGCAAAGCTGATTGGTTTCGACTTTTGAGGTGAAGTATAAACCAGGGAGGGAAAATAATGCTGCTGATGCCTTCTCAAGACAGATGCAATATGCCACTATTGCTATAGTACAATGTGAAGCTTGGGAAGGATTAGAAGAAGAGATACAGGGAGATGAAAAGTTGAAAAATCTTATTCAAGATTTAGTGAGTAACTCAACGAGTCATCCTGGCTATCCATTGAGAGGTGGTAAACTGTTTCATGAAGGAAGGATAGTGATTCCAAAACAATCACACAAGGTTGCTTGGATCTTACATGAATTTCATGATACAACCATGGGAGGACATTCGAGCTATCTAAGGACTTACAAAAAAATTGCAGGCTTGGTGTATTGGGAAGGAATGAGGAAATGCATCAAGTCCTATGTTGAATCTTGTGAAGTTTGCCAAAGAAATAAATACCAAACGTTGAGTCCAGGTGGTTTTCTACAACCATTACCTATTCCCACGCAATTGTGGAGTGATATATCCATGGATTTCATTGGTGGATTACCCAAAGTTCAAGTAATAGATACTATTATGGTCGTGGTTGACAGGTTGAATAAATATGCTCATTTCCTGCCTGTGAAGCATCCTTACACAGCCAAAGATATAGCAGAACTATTTGTCAAGGAAATAGTCAGACTGCATGGATTTCCTAGTTCAATAGTTTCCGACAGGGACAAAGTTTTTCTGAGTTCATTTTGGACAAAGTTGTTCAAACAGGCTGGTACAAAGTTGAAGTACAGTAGTGCATATCATCCCCAGACTGATGGACAGACCGAGGTAGTAAATAGATGCATGGAATGTGGCCTAAATCTTGGGCAGAATTTTGGTATAATACCAATTACCATGCCTCTCTTAAATCCACTCCTTTTGAAGCCTTATATGGGAGAAGGCCACCCGTGTTAGTTAGAGGAGATGTGCATCTTTCTGCAGTAGAAGAAGTCAACAAACTAACTGCTGAAAGGAATGAAATGATTAGGAAATGAAAGAGCAACTGCTGAAAGCACAAGACCAAACAAGGGTACAAGCCAACAAGCATAGAAGAGAGGTGGATTATCGGGTAGGAGATAAGGTTTATTTAAAAATCCAACCTTATAAGTTGCAAAAGTTGGCCAAGAGGTTCAATCAAAAGCTAAGCCCTAGATATTATGGACCCTATGAGATAATGGAAAGAGTAGGGGTGTGGCTTACAAACTCAAATTACCAGAAGGTAGTAGAGTACATCCAGTATTCCATGCATCCCTGTTAAAAAAAGCAGTCTCAGCAAATGTAGAGACTCAACCCTTACCTACTTGCATGAATGAGAGTTGGCAATTGGAACCAGGCCCTGAGGAAGCAAGGGACACTAGAGTAAATGATAAGGGGGAGTTAGAAGTCTTAGTGAAGTGGAAAGGACTACCAGAATTTGAAAATCCATGGGAATTGGTGGAAAAGACGAGACAAGAGTTCCCTGACTTTCTCTTTGAGGTCAAAGAGAGTCTTGAAGGAGGGGTATTGATAGATACGATATAGTTTATACCAGAAAACGCAGAAATAGAGGGAGAGAAGCACAAGATCAGGGAGATGTAACTAATTCATCTAATTAAATGCAGCAGATATGACTGATTCATCTAATTGAATGCAGCAGATACGACTGATTCATCTAATTAAATGCAGCAGATATGACTGCCAGGTGACTGGTTCATGGGAATTAGGGGAAATTATTCAGATTGCAGTGAGTGCATAGGAGTGCTAAGCAGCTCGAAATGCTTACCCTATTTTATTACAGTATATCTTTATCTCTTTCATAGTATATTGTATACATGGTTAGATCCCGTTTGATCTCTAATCTTATTTCCTAAATAATACAATATTACTTTTCTTTCTTTTGAGTTCTGTGTTGTGATTTCTATTCCTAGATCCATTGGATCCTATCAACATGATTCTATAATCTGTGCGTAGTATGCGGTATTCTCGTTTCACTTAATTTGGAACGCGGGTGTTTGCATGTGTGAATCAATGTTTTGGGAAAATGCTACCATATTTGGTCAATGTTAGTGTGAGTAATTAGTGCTAACAAACGTGCCATTAATAAAATAAGAACATTATCAGATGGCTCACCCCTTCAGAATTACTGCCAATTTATAGGCCCTTAGTAATATCTCAAGCAGTTCCAATTCTTTTTGAGCTTTAATTCCTGTTTGTATTCACGGATAAATGCCCTTCCCACTGTGCGTTTGGCCACTAAAATTTGGAGTTTCTAATTTTCACATTTTATTTGTATTGGGTTGGGATGCGAGAAAATAAGTGCCATCGCCAAACCAAATATAACTTTAATGAAATTTATTTGACGACTCATTTGATATCAAGAGAATATGATTGGATGATCTTCATTTATTTGAATATACTGTAATATCTAGTGAAGTATACTGTAACATCTAGTGATATATACTGTATATAAATAACCTGTTATTAAGAATGAGGTTGAGGTAAGTTTGGTAAAATTTAGTTTGAGAGACCTTGACCTACAAGTGCACTAAATGAAATCATACATGTTGATTTATATACTGCTAGAGATTGCTGATATGACTAGAATATAATGAGCAGTTTGTATGGACAGCTATATGCTGGTAGTTGACTCTTCCTCTTTGTTTGGAATCAAAACAATTTTATCGTAATTTGATAAGGATTAGGATGTCGAACATGAATCAGCTTTGTTGTCGTTGATACATACCTATGTCGCTTGATGTGAATGCTAGTACCCATTTATACAGCTAATAAATTCAATTTTAGTTTCACATGCATTTGACAATGCATAAATTATTGGTAATTACAATTAAAGATATCTGAAGTTACAGTAAGACTTACTACTATCCCAATAATATGCATCTCTCACTGCATTAGTTAAACATATTAAACTTTTCCTTTTGGCTTCACATACTGTCTTTCCATTAGTAAATTAAACTTCACAGGATAAGACATGTAGTGTTAAATAAAGTAAGTAAGGAATGTTGATAAACTTGTAAAATTTGTTTTTTTATTGTAGGTTATATCATTGAATTTTTAAATTTAGATATGACTTTTTTAGTTCGTAGGCCTACTAGAATTATGTTTTTAGACCTATTAGTATTATGCTTATCTGACGTCATTGTCTTAGGTTTTAACTATGGATAGATTTGAGCACATTGGGTTCCTGGTTCAGTTTGGTGATAAGGCTGAAGGAAATTGTTTAAGTCAATCATCTCCGTTTTTTGCGAATTCGGATCCCGACATGCCTGCCGTTCCCGTTCCTGTTACACAAGTTCATGACTGGCTTATGCAAAATATAACTTCTGCTCTGGAACATATTTCTGAAAGGACTTCTGCAAAGGAAAATGGGCCAGCCAGTGCCACTGATCAAGATGTTGCTATGACTGATGCATGCACTGTCTCGGTTAAGTTTTCAGCTAGTACCAGGGATTCATGTTTCATTGAAGGAGTCTCTAAATCGTCTTATGTGAAGCATGCATCTGACATGAAATGTTCATCTGTTAAGGTTTGTTTCTAAAATGTCTTCTTTTGTTATGTTGAAATTTTAATTCTTCATATTCAACGTTGCTATCATCATCGCAATTATATTTATACCCTTCAAATATATCCTGAACTATTGATCCTAAGTAGGAGGCAAATTGAAAGAAAATTTGGAATGTTGTTATATCCGAATCATAACTATATAGATTAAAGCTCATGATTAGTTTTCTAAGATTGAGCCAAATCACTGACAGTAAATCTGTCCTAATATAGCAAATAAAGTTACGAATATGTACCATAGAGAATATAGAAATGCAAGAAAAATTATCGGAATTGAATCCATAACAGCTCATGAGGCTATTTAACTCTTTATATTATTTTTCTTATATGGTTACAAAAATGGAGTTATGTTATGCATCTACTTCTAAATGTGTTGGGTACAAAACCATTCATTTTCCAACTTATTATAATGAAAAATGACTTATGCTTTCGTTTGGGCTTAACTCACGGAATTTTGTGCCTGAATGTTGAAATATGTTTGGTCTTGTCATGTTGAATATGACTATGAACAATAGTAATAGTCGATTTATCGTTACTCTCCACGTCTCATTTTTTTGTCCCTTTTGCAATATTTCTGTCACAATATTTCTCTCTTTAGAGTACCAGTGTAACTTTTATTAATTTTTCCCACTAATATATCCTTATTTATTGTATTTCAACTCAACTAACTTCAATCAATAAGAGCATTTTAGTAAAAAGAAACTCATTTTATCATTGTAATCAACATGACTAATCATTATCTTAAAAAATATGCAAAACTTAAAGGAAATACCTTGTATGAGAGGGAGATAGTACAAAATAACTTTATAGGGCCTTCATTATTTAATAATAATGTCATCACCATAAATAAGAATTAAAATTAGGTATCCTCCCAATATGTTTAAAGAAAAGTGTATGGTCTCCTCAGTAGTGCTTAGAGCCCGAGACACATCACTGCTTTTGTGAATCTCCCAAACCATACTCGAGGTGACTGTTTTAGCCCACCCATGTAAAACCTAACTCAATCTACACACTTTGTTTGTGCCACTTGTGGGACCAAATCCTGAGGGAATCCCGATGTACACTTCCTAGTCTAAGTCAAAGGAAGTAATCACAACAAACAGCCACAAAAGAACAAACTACGGGTGTCAATGACATGAGGTAAACAACACCTGTACATACTAGTGAATAATGTTCGTACACACGGGTGACAACGACCTTGCGAATGGTGAATAAGGACTGTACATACATGTGAACAGTACCATATGAATGGTGACCTTACGGGCTGGTGAGGAGAACCATACAGCTAGTGAACAGTGCTGAATCAGTCAGCAGGCAGTGACAGCGGTAGCAAGAAACTGGGCTCAAAGAAAGTTTCAAACACCACATTGAAAACAGCCAAGAATGTCACAATGAAGATGGCAAAGAGAACCACAATAAAGGTGGCTGCCGGCTAGGTTTTTATGTAGAAGCAAGGCCTCCAAAACCAGGAGCTCGTGATACCAAAGTAGGAATTAGGTCTAGTGTACTGTAGTAATAATGTACTAGTACATGCTAGTCTTCCTAACCCCAGTTAAATAAGGAAACAGATTTGGAAATATAAGGAAATTGGAAAACAACTCTGTCATCATGATAATTAAGAGGTGTGGATTTTTGAACGTCTTTCTAAATATGTACTCCATCAGTCCCATTATGAGTGTCATATTTGTAAAACCAGTTTTCCCAAAATGAGTCTCACTTTCACCTTTCAATGTTATACTAATTACTTTTTCTGTTGTACCCTTTAATTAATATTATGTGCTGCACTTGCAAGTCAATATCTTTCACTTTCCAATTGAATTTATGGTAACGGTGAGTACACCAATATTTGATAAAGTTAAATCACAAAATGACCATTCTCTTTCTTTCATTTATAGTATTTTCTTAATTTGTTTGAAATAAGCAAGTGTGTCTTTCGTTGTGGGATGGAGGGATTATTTTGGAGAGATTAGTTTAGGCCAACTGCCTACAATTTAGCGTCCGTGTACATCATTTCATGGTCAATCATCTTTACAGCTGGGTGATATTTAGTAAAGGCATTTAGAGCTTGAATTAAAACCAAGGTGTAATGATGAATAATGTATACTGAATAATTTTAGCATGTGAAGTGGCTGTGGAGAAAGATTACAATTTATATTCTTGTGCTTTTCCTCAGTTTAATTCCATGAGGACGTTATACTAAGGAAATGATATCTAGATATATATTTGATTTTAATCTCTTTCCATAAGAAATTCAATCCCTTTCTGTTCCATCAGTAATCTTGTAAAACCCCAGCTTAGGTTGTTGGGGATTGACGTAATTATACTTTACCCAAGGGGGCATTCCATGTTTTTGAGAAGTGACAAAATAATCAAATAATATACATATTTTAAAATTATTTCTCATATGTTGTCTGCAATCAGTTTAGCCACCAATGCAACTCGACGGATCATTATTTCAGGTGGAGCCAAGATATTGATTAGGATTAGTTTGTTTCAGATGTTTATTCAATCTTAACTTTACACACGGAGTTTCAATGAATTTTAGAACTAAATTAGTTACATATATATGTCTGTGTCTGTTTGTACATACACATGTATATGCACATATGTGAGATATTAGCTTTTGTTCAGTTTCTTGTGTTATACCAGATATATTGTTCTCTACATGTTTGCCTTTTTGTAAGGAACAAATTACACTGCTGTCTGCTAGTGGTCTATGAGGTGTCAGCTTAGTGGTAAGAATTTGACTTTGTAACATCAAGGGACAAAGTTCAATTCCACCTAAGATAGTTGTAAACTGGTCACTAATGCTACCATTATTAATAATAATTATCCCTTCCCCAATTTTTTTTATAAATTACACTGATAGTGGTTTTTATTTATTTAAATGTTCATATTAATATTTTTGTTATATTTTTATTATTATAAAAAAAGTTATACTATCTCCCCAAAATAAAGTTATACTATACTATTTTATTTTTGAGAAATAAAAGGTTTTCCCTCTTCTGCACATAATCTTAAGCTTTTGTGATGGTTGAATTGAATCCTTAGGTAATGTAAGGTTTCTTTAAGTAATCTGATGTCAATGTTGTTTTTGTGATCTTAATCTGCAGCATTATGTATCTTTACTACACATGTTTTAGATGTTGAGATGTTTGTTCAACTTATTATGGAAAGTGTCCTGCTGCTAATGCTATTATATTTGTGTTTGGTCATTGCAGGTTCTAAATTGCCAAGAGTCTACCATCTATGTCTTAGCACCTTTGAGATATGCCATTGTCTATGGATGCTCAGATGCTACAATAGTTCTTGGAGCAGTTGGCAAGGTAAATGTTATCTGTTTTCTGCTTTTAAGAGGTGCTTAATGAGTCTAATAATGTGTTAGAACATCTATGGAATTTACCTTCTAACAGGAACGTGGGAAATGATATTTTATTTTTGTGCTGTCATGATGTCATCCTAAGTGGTAAAGTAAAACACAAAGAACATGAATCTGATATGATAATTGTCCATTTAAAGTAATGAGGTTTTTTTGCAGATTATTAAAATTTTAGTAGGAAAGAGAAACGAGAATGGAACTGACCTTTTCTATTAAAAGTTCCGGACTATAATTTATGGCTGTAGTACTCCTGTATAAACCAATATATTAATATCGTTTTAGCTTCGTTTGTATAGCTTGGGTTATGCATCCAGTTTTTCACCCTTTCATTTATATATGCCTATGTTGCCACTAAGCTGCTTTAGCGCTGGATCGCAGAGCAGCGATGGCATCCAGCCGGCAAGCCACGTTCATCAGATGTGGCAGCCGTAAATCGCTGCAAAGTCACATTAAAAAGGCTTGTTTGCGTCCACAATTTGGTTAAGAGAGTGAGATCCCTCAATTACCCTTATGTTTTAACCGTTCAGTATATCTTTTAAGGGTATATTGATCATTTTGCTATATTATAAGTGACCTGATTGTCTTCTTCTCGAGAGCGAACCGTCTCTTCTCCATCTTATGTGTTTACCTTTTGGTTTATCTTTCTCCTAATGCAAAGTGCTAACAAAACTCCACTTCTGGTTTGGACTTTTCTCCTTTAGCGGTGTTCTGCGTTCTGCGAAACCTCTGTTCTTCCCTATTTCTTCTTTTCCTTTTTCTTCTGCGAGACCATTCTATTCTTCTGTTTTTCTAATTATCTGCAAAACTCTTCTGCCTCTGTTTTTCTGGTCTTCTCTATGAAACTCTTCCGTTTCAGTTTTTCTGGTCTTCTGCTAAACTCTTCCACCTTCTGTTTTTCTTGTTTTCTGGGTTGTCATTTTGATTACTTTTTCAACTTTAATTAGTAACTAAATTATATTGGTTTTTGATTTTTCATATTAGTGACAAATGACCAAAGTTAATTATAATTATTAAGTATGATTACGCTTTAATTTTGTGTATTTTGACATTCTAGTGTATTTATGTATCCTGTTGGGGTTTGTGTAAATTATCTTTAATCTGTATATTGTTTTTGTCTATGCAATAGCGCTTAGCAGTTTTGGGGTCTGGTGCTGCAACATAAATACATGCATTGCCTGTTGGTTAGCGAGAAGATATTATAAGTAGGGATGAAAAAGAAATCCCTATCCGCGAGTAAAAACCGTCCCGGCCTAGGCACACGGCAAATAGCTTAACGGCTACCCGCGAATAAAATAAACGGATATTTCAACTGCCTATTAGTTAAAGTATATGGAGGCCGCAATAATAGTTTCCGTATCCGTGGATATCAGTAAACTTGTTTGTAAACTAGTAAAATTACGAAAAGTATTAAATGACTTATTCATAAATTTTACCTACATGAAATAAATCGTAACCTAATTTCATAATTTGTTTATTGTTTGATTAATAATTTTTGTTGTAAAAGTAAAAGTGCAGTGTGTTAATAGTCTCCTCTTGTTAAAAGAGGAGGAAACAATTTTGCATAAATACAAAAAATAATAATTACATAAATGCATTTTTTTGGAAAATTCATATCCTTGGATATCCACAAATACCTGTAAATCTGCTACCCCATCTAAGCATATATTTGCTCGGATATGGAGTAGATACAAATATCATTTCTATCCAACTGGACAAGTAGTAGATGAATACTATCCGTACCTGTAGATATCTATTATCATCCCTAAGTATAAAGAAAATAGAAATTCAGCCTTTAAGAGCATAATTTTTTATCACCTTTTACACATTTATGTGTATGTCATTCTTAGAGGATATCACCTGTTTGGAGTTTGGACTTGGAGCATTTGAAGAGCTACCTTTAAGTGGTATACTAACAAGTAACAACAAAACTCTTTTCTCACTTGGTCGGTTTGGTTAAATGGATCAATTTATACCAGTTGCTTTAAAAAGATATTTCAACATGATTTTCTAATCACGTTGAGTTGATATTCTGTATATTAAATCAAAGATATAAGTCCTTCTTATTTTGTCTCTAGAACTTCAAATATATATGTTATGGAATAAAAAATGTTATTATTAGGTACAATTCTTTGAAGAAACTTGCCAAGGATGGTACTGAATGGCAGAGATCAAAGAAATTCTGCCAAATTCCCCCAAATGGCTGGATTGCATTTTCAGTTTGAGGAAATAGTTACACGTTATCAACTTATACTGTAGGAAACTCATTCTTTCATATGTACATCCTAAACTCGTTCTATTCCTCCCCTCGCCCGAACTGTTCTCGGAATTTCCTGACGTTCCATCAGATAATATGAATTCAAGGGGATTTTTTTTTGCAGTTCTTAACGTGGCTCATTAAACTGTGTGCTCCAACCACATTAGAAAGAAACTTATTAGCCATACATTAGTTAGCTACACTATTGGGTAGTTTGGTCGCACACACACTGTTAATATAGAATGACTTATTAGTTATTACAATTTAACAATTGTACTTCTGAGCCTTTTTGACATATGCTACATTTTTTGAGCTTGTTAGTCTACAATCTCTTCCATTTTATTTTTTGTTTTTTGAATTTGTTAATGAATAAAAATAGGTAAAGTTACTTGGACTTTCTCTATTCCGCATTTTCGTATATATTTTTTTAAAAAACAAATCTCTGCAGTACTTATATCACTGATGGTTTTGATGTCTGTTTTATAATATTCAAATTAAGATATTTAGTTGGTACTTGGTAGGTTTTGGGATATGGTTAATCTGTCTCTTATGACTATCAGAGTAACTGATGCTTTATTATGAGTACTGAAGCTGATCTTCACTTTTTTTGTTGTTGTTGACAGGCTGTGAGAGTCGAACACTGTGAACGGGTTCATGTGATCGTGGCTGCAAAACGTATTTGTATTGCCAACTGTCGTGAATGTGTTTTCTTTTTGGGAGTGAATCAGCAACCTCTTATAATTGGTGATAACCATAAACTGCAGGTGAGCATCCCCAGCCCCTTCCTCTGTTTTTATTGTTTCTACTCTTTTTTTGGTATAAAGGAGGAGCTGCACACTGTTTCTATATTTCATCACGGTAATTTATGACAATACCGTGAAACAAGTCTGAGGCAAAATCAGGGTTGCTTATTTAGCCAAAGATTGTAAAAGTACCAGTTGGAAATACTCTACTTAGGAAATGCCTACCCACCCATTGCCATACTCTACTACTCTGTCTCTGCTTTGAATTATTTTCTCCAACAGAATCCACACCTCACACCTTCCTTGCTGCTATGGTTCTACTCACCACGTGCAAGAATATTGCAACTTAAATTCCCATAGTAAATCATAACCCTTGTTTACTTCTGACAGTACACAGCATATGAAGTTTGACATGTAATGCCATGGTTAATATAAGTAACAATAAGTAAAAAGGTTAACTCTGAAGAAACTAGAAATGTCACTAGAAAGGGGGGTTTAATGCCATGGTAAATATAAGTAGCAATAAGTAAAAAGGTTAACTCTGAAGAAACTAGAAATGTCACTAGAAAGGGGGGTTTAATAGTGGCCTTTTAAAATTTTGTTTAGCTTGGTCTATCTTTAGTTATGTCAATCAAATCAACTAAAGATTAAGGCTCTGTTTGGTAACACCAGAAAAAGAGCTTTTAGCTTTTAGCTTTTCAGCTCATATTAACAAAATAGCTCTGTTTGGTAACTGTCATTTAGCTATTAGCTTGTAGCTTTTTTACTAGCTTTTAGCTTTTTTCTCAAAAGCTATTTAAAGTAGCTTTTGAGCTTGTAGCTTTGAGCTTGTAGCTTTGAGCTTGTGACTTTTTCTTCCATTTATACCCTTATTATTTTAACAAAAATATATTTTTACCCTTATATATATAGTTAAAATAGATTTTGCATTGTATAATTATATTCGTGTCGATTAACAAGAAAATACAATATTTAATAGTTAAAATAGATTTTGCGTTGTATAATTATATTCGTATCGATTAACAAGAAAATGCAATATTTAATATTTTTTTAACAACATTCAAATTACATACCTTGTAATGAATTTAGAGATAGTGTTGCTAATTCCTAAGTTTGTGAAACATTAGGAGATTATCAAGACGACGAAGATTCGTAATAATATTGGAGTTTTACCGTAAAATAGACAATAAACTTATTTTTATTATTATTTTAGATTAATATAATTGAATACAATATATATATATATATATATATATATATATATATATATATATATATATATATATATATATATATTTTCGAAATATTTTGTTGTTATTTTTAATTTTAATATATATTAATTTTTTTTTCATATGTTTGCTAATATACTTATTTATAGTTTATAAAAATTAATTTAGTTATATAATACAATAATATAATGAGACTATCAATTTCTTAATTAAGAATGTTCTTTTATGTCATTTTATATTTATCAGCTAGTATAATAGCTAATTTACCAAACACTCGAATTAACTTATCATCTATCAACTACCAACTACCAGCTACCAGTTACCAACTATCAGCTACCAACTACTAGCTACAAGTCATCAGCTATCAGCAACTAGCTAATTTTACCAAACAGAGCCTAAGATTAGAGAAGTATGGTGAGGATATAGGAAGAAGAGAGATGATTTAGTTTATCAAGTATAAGAGTAAGTAACACACATCAAATTATCCTAGTTCACCAATTCGTGGTTAGCCCAATCCTCACAGTATGTGAGATTTTTCTATTCCTCACAATCACCCAAACATGCTACTTGTGCTTTCTGGATTCTTTTAGTTTCACCAGGCTTACACTTTTGAATGTATTCAGACTTTAGATATCTCTTACAATTTTCTTACAAGCCTTTTATATCACTTCTGAATGTATTCAGACTTTAGATATCTCTTACAATTTTCTTACAAGCCTTTTATATCGCTCGAGGGATATACAAGTATGTTAATGATTTTTAGATACAAAGACTAAATACTATATGGCAGTGAGAAGTTTTTATAACAATTCTTTGAAGTAAATTGATTTTCTTCAAAAGAGAAAGGAGAAGATTTTTTGATTCTTTCTATTTGGGATGCTCATTTGATATCTTGTTTCTAGGGCTGATGTGAGAAGGAAGTAATGATCTCTTTTTAATTTGCCCCCCTTGATGTATGAAACTTAATAAAAATATAACAGTGAAATGCAGTTTATAAATTTAATATGTTGGAGGATTTTTGATTCATGATTTTTGGCACAGAGCAAACAAAATATGTATCCTCTTTTAACATAAGCAAAATGAAATAGATGCATACTACAGAGCTTTAGGCCTTGTCACCATGGGAGGCATCATAAGGAGGTAGAAATGGAAATTCAAACTCTGGAATTTTAGGAGGAGGAATGCGAGGATAAGCACGAGGGAGATACTCAGAAGATAGCCAGTTAAAATAAGCCTGGTTTTGTCGACCAAGGCTGATGATGGCTTTTTGAAGCGAGGTAAAGCTTTTTTGCAATGAGTTTCCAGAAGATTGACCCGAGGATTTGTTAGTTGTTTTGGTATTGGGAGGAGCCATGTTTACGTCAAGGGATGATGTAAGAAGGAAGTAATGATCTCTTTTTATAGAAGGGGCTAAAAATGACCGTTGGTGTTCTTTATTCCTTTGCCCATGATTTTTGTTTTATATTACAAAAATGCCATGAGAGAGTCTTGGATCCTCAAAGGTTGTTTTGCTGTCTTGGAACTTGTTCTCATAAAAAGCTGATCTTATTTTTTTAGCTTGATTGGTAAAGAGTCTTTTCATGCAAGCTGTTTATGAAAGGGCTCACGTGGCTTTCATAATTTAATTCAAACAATGCTTTGGATCAGTGAGTCCTCATAAGTGCCAGCTGTATTTGATGGGGCGCACGTGGTTTTAATGATTACATCAACTTTTATTGGATCTGTGAGTCCTCGCGAGTGCTTTATGCTTGTTGAGAAGGAACCATGCTTAGGACAAAGTGACCATGTGTCTTGGTATCCTGTTTAGACTTAAAAACATACTTGTACAAGAAATTAGATAGTATCTCTAAGTTTGTTATCTTCAGACTTAAAAACATACTTGTACAAGAAATTAGATAGTATCTCTAAGTTTGTTATCTTCAGAATTATTTAGAGTTTGTTTCAACAACTCAACCATACTGTCTTGCGCTGTTATTATATTTGACACCGCAAGAATAAGCATCTGGGCCTGTAAAACATGCCGTAAATTGTTACTTTTATAACTATTTTTCATCCACAATTATGCAGTTATACTTCCTATAATGGTATTAGCTTCTGATAAGGGTATGGGTATTTTCTCTAAAATCCTCACTTTCCTTTTTGAACTTATTATTTGAGATATTTTCTCTTGTTACTTATCAGGTGGCACCGTACAATACATGTTACCCCCAGTTGGAGGAGCATATGAGTGAAGTTGGAATTCTGCCCACAGTGAACAAATGGGATGAAGCTCTGGCTTTGGGCATTCTTGATCCACATGATTCATTATCTCATCCAGCTGGTGTATCTGATGTTCAAGCCGAGTCTGCTACACGAGTGGATCCTGATCAGTTCACAAATTTTGTGGTATGACTATTAGACTCAGCAGGAAATGTTTTGATTTGTATCCTGTGACAATTCTATAAAAATGTATGGATGAAGAAGGGTTGAGATGTATCTTTCTTTGTTCTTTTCCAAGTATTTTTTTAAATATCTATTTCATTCTCTATAGCTAATTTAAAAACCATGTTCTTTTTCTATTTTTCATAGGGCCCTTTTCTATTTGTTTTTTGTCTGCAGATTCCAAACTGGCTTGCAGAAGAATCCACTGGATCTACAAAAGACAATCCATTTGCATTACCAGATTCATATGCGGCGTCTCAGCATAAAAATGTATGTTTACTAGGCTATTGGCATATATATATATAGTTTCAATTGGTTTAATCAAATAGAATTGTGTATTATTTTCAGAAAAAAAATTTAGGGGAGATATGGCGGCTAATACACGAAGCTTCTTTAGAAGACAATCGTAAACGAGAATTGTCGTCTGTGCTTCATATGTACTTCAAGGACTGGTTATATGGTAACCTTCATTCCTTTGCTTTTATGTCTTATACTCCCTCCATCTCTTTTTATAAGTCCATATGTCAATTTACACACATATTACAAAAATTGATAGTGTAACTGACATGTACATTATTTTATGACTATTACTAAATTAGCCTGTGTATAAATGTATTCAATATTGACTTTTCATCTTCCAAAGCAGAATAGTAGCATTCATTCTGGGTATATTTGAAGAAATAATAATAATTGCATCTAGTAATTTGGAAGCGTGCTTATATTTGGGGATAATAAATTTTGCCAAATGGTGCTTATATATAGTGTCAGATGGAGTATTCTCACTTATTTGACTCTCTTATATAAGAATTATTAGAGTTTGGGAACCATTGAATGAAAACATAAATGAGAGAGAGAGAGTGAGGAAAGAGAGATAGAGGATTCTTTGAATCAGAATATCTTGAATGTAAAGTTAGTTAGGAGTTAGGACTCTTTACATTGTAGAATATTTAGGCAGTTAGAGTAACCAACTCCCAAAAGAGTTAAGAATAAGGGAGAGGGAGAGAACTGAGCCAAATTACAAGGGAGAGCCCAATCTTTATTCCTGATAGTCTCCCTTCAATTTCAGGGTGGTTAGCCCAGTGAGAGCTTGTCAAGCACTCTTAGTTTGTCTCTAAGGGTTTGGTTAACACATCAACCTATTGATCTTGAGCTGGGATGTGAGAGACAACAAGGCTCTTATTGATGATCTTTACTTTGACAAAAATATATCCAACTCCATGTGTTTAGTGCGTGAGGGGAGGACAGGATTGTGTGAGAGAAACAACACTCAGATTGTCACACAGTAAGTATCCTTGGAGTTTGATGCTTGACCCTTAGTTCTTGTACAAGTGACTCGAGCCGTAGGATCTCAGCAGTGGCCTGAGCTAAACTCCTATATTCAGCTTCAACACTAGACCTACAACTAGCGTTTGCTTCTCTGCCCACCAGGATACTAAGTTGGATCCAAAATAAATGTAGGCTCCTGAGGCAGGCCTTCTATCTTCTGGGTCTGTTGCCCAATCAACATCACAGGAACCAATAATGGTGATAGGATTGCTGAGATTAGCAGGAGCTAGGAGTCATGGTTAATTGACCCTTGTAGCCTGTAGGTAACTCAGTATTACGTTACACAGTCTTCCAGTGATCCTCAAGGGGGTTGGATAAAAGTTGACATACTTGTTAGTTGCAAAGGAAGGCCTGGTCACAGTGGCATACTGCAGAGTTCCTATATCAACCTAAACAATGTTCGATCATAGACATTGTGTTCGATCATAGACATTGTCAGAGCCAATCTTGCACAATTTGGCGCTAGATGTCATAGAAGAGGCAATGCCTTCTGTAGCAGTGGCCATATTGGCTCTGGTGAGGAGGTCTCTTATGTATTTAGTTTGAGACTTAAGTAGATAACCATTAGGTTGATGGTGAATCTCAATTCCCAAGAAACAATTTAGCTATCCAAGATCTTTTAGGCATAAGGAGAGATTATGTCTGCTAAGAGTTGTTGGATAAAAACTTTAAAATTACTGGTGATGCTGATATTATTCACATATACTAAGACAAAGGTGTGCTAATGAGTTGTTGGATAAAAGCTTTAGAATTACTGTTGATGATGATATCATTCTCATATACTAAGACAAAGGTCACATAAATATGATGGATCAGTTGAGTGCGAATCACTCGAGCATTTCACAAATCTTTTAATACTCTATCAAAGTCTCTTAATATGGTATCAAGAGTTGATTCATTTTTCTTCTAAGGGTTTCTACCTCTGGTCGGTAGAACCCTTGAATCTTCCTTCGTTAGTAAAAAGATAAAAAATAATATCCAAACAACACTTCTTCAGTCCAAAAGTCATTTCCTTCGTTTGTAAAAAGATAAAAAATAATATCCAAACAACACTTCTTCAGTCCAAAAGTCATTGTTACCTTCATTTTTTGTTTCCATCTGTTGTTGCTTGCTCGTCCACTCAATTTTTTTTTGAAGAAAATGGATCGTCTTCAGTGTACATATTGCAATAGAATGGGTCACACTCAAGACACGCTACTCTCTTCATGGTTTTCCTGAAAAATCTTCTCATAGGTCACCTGCCACTGGTGTTCATGCTTTCGCAACCATCATATCTCAATCTTGTAACAATCAAAATCTTTGGATAATTGATTTAGGTGCCTCTGATCATATTGATGGTAATCATTCCTTATTCTCTTCCATTTCCAATCCCAAATTTCCTCACTTAATAACTCTAGGAGATGGTTCTAAGACCATCGCCAAAGGAATCGGTCGTGTTTTTGTCACTCTTTCTATAACTTTGAAATCTGTTTTGTTTATACTTGGTTGCCCTTTTAATTTGAGGGGATTTCTTATTCCACCCCATGCCCTAAAATAAGACCCTTTGCAATTCCGAAAATGTCCCTCGAAAATCGGAAATGTATTTCTGATTCGCACCTTTTTAAGTTGCATGTACGCAAAACCGGAAATGCACTTCCGCTATAAATCGGAAGTATATTTCCGGTTCCTAGTTGACAATTTGCAAGAAAAGATAGGTAATGATAATGAATCGCTGGAAAGATGTTAGAAAGTGTAGACTTGTGGGGCAACAAAGGGAAAGGCAAAAGGAACAAAAACAAGACTTTCTCAGGATTTTCTCTCTTGTCTCTTGTTGAATAGAAACAAGACTTTCTCAGGATTTTCTCTCTCGTCTCTTGTTTTTTTATCTGTTATATTAATGATGGAAATTTCAGAAGGTAAAGAGAAAAAAGGAATGATGGAAATTCCTGCACCAATGCCATCATGGTCTATCAAATGAAATGGTCCAATACTGCATTCAATTAATACTCCCTGCATGGTTTTGAACATTGTGTTTTGTGATTCTACAGTAAAAAGAAGATAATTTTATTTTACGTGTGGTGAAACACTGAAAAGTGCCAATGGTGCAGGAACATATGCCTTACTCTATTTTGAAACTGGAAATGCATTTCCGGTTTGTACCAGAAGTGCATTTCTGAAATAAATTTTACCGTAAAATTGACCGAATCTCAAAACGAATGAATTATACGTGGGTGGGGGTGCGAACCGGAAATGCATTTTCGATTTTCAGGGGCATTTTTGGAATTTCGCGTGGTGCGTATGAAATGCATGGGGTGGAATAAGAAATCCCCTAATTTGATCTCCCTTAGCCAACTTACTAGGTATCTAAACTGCGTAACCTTTGATGTTGGTTCATTTACTATACACGAAAGTGAATGATAGAAACCAGAAAAATATGACGAGGACCGAGTATTATTTACTGCAAATGGTTGAGCTTGGAGCTCTTACAATGGTAGATGAAACAGAAAATGTAATCCAGAGTTTTATGAACTCCCAAACCAGAGCAAAATTGCTCCTATACCAGAGTGTATCTCTCCTAACAGCTTTCTAACAAACTTTCTGAATGAATCCTCATTTCCCTCCCCTTTCTTTTATTACAGAATAATCCCTTAAAATCAGGGAATACTGTTGGAACATGTCCATGTTTCAATATATTGAATTTAAACCACATTGCCCATGTGAGAAATATTAACTATATTACTTCACTATATAAGGAGTGCACATGTTTCATTCCAAATCACACCAAAAACTATTCTATTAGTTTTTCCTTCCTCACTCCCATAATTCTGCGTCTCTCAAATTGTCGAAGCGCCATCTTCTTTCCCTTTCTTCCTACTCGTTGAATTTTCCGAGTATTTTCTTGAATTCTCTTTAGAGAATTATGTTAATTTCTCCTCATTTGAGTTGAAGAATTTTCAAGTTTAATCTTTGGATTCTCTTTGGAGAATTATTTGAATTTCTCTTTGTTGGAGAAATTATTATGAGTGGTTAAATGACCATTATTAATTTCTCTTTGGAGAATTATTTGAGTTTCTTTTTGTTTGAGAAATTATTACGATCGGTCTTTGTACCAGATACTACGAGTGGTGTTGATATCATATTTGAATGGTCTTGTACCATCAGAGGGTGTATTTCTAGACCGATTATCTATCATGCAAGTAGTAATCGTACAGTATAGAACTGGACTGTTTTATCCTGGAGGCGGCGCGGTAGTTCGACTGCTTTGTATAATTTTGAGCAGTGTCACGAAACGTTTTAAAGAGAGCGACCTAGTCCGCGACTCAACCTGATAATTTCTTCAGTGACAAATATTTTAAAATCTGAAAACAACAAATACTCTAATTGACTATTATTCTTACATCTTCTAGAAGCTGTGCTGATGTGGATTGACCTCAATGATTGGGTCATCACCGCATATAAGAACTCAGTATCCTATCGGTACAAGTCTGATGATTGGTGCAAGACATGAATCACATAGTATTTATTACCTCCCCATCAGCCCATCATATGAAAGAGTAAGAAGGCCGGCTAGGTTAAACAACTTTACCACTAAAAAAAGAGAGCAAAAAGCCGAAATTACCCTTAAGATGTTTTAATTTTAAAGGGTAATTTTGACTTTTTAAGTGGGGAAAAAATAAAATTGTTCAGAAATCGCTCCTGCAACCCAACCGCTCCCGCGATCCTATTCCGCACTGCCACAAGCATTCCCACTGCAGACAGCATCCACTCCGCTCCGCCCCAAACTGCTGCAATAGTGGCGCTCCAGACTGCTATTGACTTCTCTGGCTAAAAGTTGAGATGGGAAGGTGGAAAGTTAGTAGCAGAAAATGAAAACACGAGTGCGGTTACATAGGAAAAGTGATAGAGAAGAGACTATTCAAGTTGTAATAGATAGTTTGGGGCTGGAGTGTATATCATCTGAACTTCGGAGCTTCTGCAATCTGCACTTCCACTTCAATGCATAATATGCAAACACTTCATATTAAAGGTGTGTCTGGTGTGTGTGTAACAGTGCTTCGCAGCATAATACTAATATATCTATATTAGTATTATACACACTTCAATTGAGTTTCTCCATCAGTAATTTTGTAAAACACCCCAAAATATTTGTATCCCTTTTCCTCTTCAAAGCATAATAATACAAACACACACTTAACTAAAGAATTTCTCTACAAGTAGTTTTCAAAATAAAAGAGGGAAAATGTTATAATTTTAACGGATGTAGTCAAGAAGGAATTTGGTTAAGCAGCATATTGCAAATGGAGGACCTTTATTATGTTTGCTCTGATTAATATTGTCAAATCAAATTAGATTATGCTAATACTTTTATTTCTATTTCTGTGGTGCAGCTTCAGGGAATATTCGTCAACTTTACTGTCTGCAATCGGATTAATCTTCCATAGAGAATATATTTATTATACACAGTTAATGACATTGAAAGGCAAAGGTTTTGGTTTCCTTTTTGATACTTCAGTTGCACTTGCCAAGTTGCGTTGGACGCACAGGTAGCTAAAATCAGTCGTCATGAGTTAGAGTGCTCAATCTACTTATGCAGTCAGATATATCACTCTGCACAGAAATGGAACAAAAATGCAATCAGTAATCTGATTGTTATGATTTTCTTTTTGTGAAATAATTTCTGTAATATTTTGTTATTCTAAATTATTGGCCTTCTAGAAAAAGACAAATCACTCCAATATCTATAGTACTAGATTTTTCTTTTCGGTTTTCAACTTTGCCCCTGTCGATGTGAAGAAAAGAAAAGAGGGGTTCAATGTGATTGAGGTCATTATGGCTTATGATTGTGGTTCAAATGTGAATTTTCAAGTAATCACAGGAAAAGAAAGGTTTTGGTCATTATGGCTTATTATTGGTCACTAAATCAGTCACAATAAATTAACCACCGATTTAGTAACCGAAAAATAGTGACCAAAACTCAAGTCTATATAATACTCTAAGTTAACTAAAAAAATATTATAAAATCAATTACATTTAATAATATTAATTTTTTATTAATTTCGATTAAAAATTAGGAACCGAGATTTCAATCTCTATTGAAAATATTATTAAGTTTTTTTCGTCTTTATGTTTTAAATTATTTTTATTAATATTTTAAATTCCTCTGAATTTTTCATTGGTTTTATATTAAAATTTGAATTCCTTTATAATTGTTTTACCTTTTGGGATCAAGTTTTTTACTTTATATATATATATATATATATATATATATATATATATATATATATATATATATATATATATATATATATATATATATATATATATATATATATATATATATATATATATATATATATATATATATATATATATATATATATATATATATATATATATATATATATATATATATATATATATATATATATATATATATATATATATATATATATATATATATATATATATATATATATATATATATATATATATATATATATATATAGGTGATTTTCTCTTGCTAAATATTAAATGGGTGACTTTTTCGCTAATTGAAAGATATCGAGAAGAGCCTCAAGCAAGTGGGAGTGAATTGTTTATGATATTAAGGAATTCGAAAAGTCACACAAGTATGCGTAAGCTCCAAGCGACGTGTTTTGTTTATCCCTCAGCCGAGAGTCCTATATATAGAGGTGCATAGACCTCATTGATCACTGCATATAACTGTTGTGACTCTTCATCATACGTAACTGAGCTGTCATTAAGGCAAGAAATGTTTGTCGTTGCCAATGATGGCTATTATCATACATGCGCCACCATGTATTGATGAACGGTTACGCCCTTGATGGGCCGATCACTCTATAACAACCTCATGAAAGTCAGACTCTATGTAGCATCTGGTTCTAAGGATAATCTCCGATATAAGCCCGACTGACTCCTCTTCATCTTTCTCTATGGCCGACCACATATGCCTTCGGCTATACAACCCGACTCAGGCATGAAGATCTCAAACCAAGGTATTACCCGACTAAGCTTTTATGTGTCCTCCTTAGCCTTTTTATCTCTCCTAGCCCGGACAATGGATCTATGTATGGACATAAGCCCCACGAGCATATGGTTTTATTTGAAGCCCTATGTTCGACCAATGTAAATATTGATCTTTTGCTCCGGGCCCGGACTCCTATAAATGGATGGTTGTCGAGTTCATTCTCGACGTGCGTGACGCCAACGCCCTAGTTTCCCAACAGTCACCTAGTTTTTTAAGTAATCATAACTAAGACAATTTTTGAAACCTACACACGTTTCCTCTTTAGTCATTACTTCTCATAACTTCTCTTTTTTATAAAAACTTTCTCCCTTCTGTTCCCTAAAGACTCTCCTATTTTCCTTTGCAAGTGACTCCCAATTCCTCTCTTCAAATCTTCCAAACGTTAACCACTTCTAGGTATCTTTCTATTCCCTTCACTTTATTTTTCCTGCACATTTCCTTTTCTTTTAAGAAATGGTAGTTTTACGCGAATGTGATGAAGAGGGTGTCATTCTAAAACCCCAAAATGCTGAAGAGAGATACACATTGTGGCGTGCATGTATGAGGGATTGCAAAAAAGGATTAGGTAGAGAGGAGTTTGATCGTATTATGCTGGAGGTCTATTGGGATACATATGCCTCTTTTAACGATTCTGACTCTGAATCTTCCTAATCAGGTTCTGTGGAAATCCTAATGGAAACTTCTGGCTCCTTTAGTGAGGAGGTGATGGGCTATGAACAAAGCTCCATGGGGTGAGGTGGAGATAGCGAAGCTTCGCTCTTTATGAAAGGTGTCCTCGACCAGAAACGAGGATAATGTTGTTCTGGAGGCTTGCATTCCCGGTGAACGAGTTTGTATTTCCCGGCCAAAGAGTACAAGACAAATTCTTTTATTTTTATGTCCGGGTGTTAGGGGATGTGCTTATCCGCAACCCTTCACTGACTTTGAGGTAGACGTTTTAAATACAGTGAACATGGCCTCCTCTCAACTTCGCCCCTAATAGTTGGGGCTTTATCAAAGCTTTGAGATGTTCTGTATATCATTGGATGTAACTCCAACCATTGGTTTATTTTTCTCTTTCTTTGAAGTTAAAAACGTAGAATCTGGAAGCTGGGTTGCCATTAGTGGTGGACCCCGTAAGAGCTTCCTTCAAGTCTATACCACGAATTACAAAGGCTTCAAAGACCGGTTCCTTCGAGTTAGGTGTGGACCGAGGTGCCCTCAAGTCATCTATGCCACTAATGGTCATCCGAAGTTTCCTTTATACTGGTATGAAAACCCCTTATCCATATCTGGGTTTAATTATGACAAATTGAGTGACATCGAGACCCAATCTCTGCAAGTGCTAGACTTCTTCCGCTTATTCAAGAACAATGACCTGTTACCTTTGCTTGACAAGGAGGTTCCAAGCCTTTCTGGGTAAGGCTCCTTTTATTTCATCGTCTCCTATGGATCTTTTATTCCTTCCTCACATGTTCCTTTTTGATGTTTTTGCAAATAAGATGACTGACCTTTCTGTCAAAGAACAAAAGAAATTGATGGCAGCTGCCTGTGCTGCCCGGAAAGGGACTGAAGGGCCTTTAGAGTCCAAATTTGACTTGAATGGTTTGGAACTTAGAGTGGTGAAGAAGAGGAAAGGAATCGGCACAACGGCGTGTACCATTATCGGTGAGCCCCAGTCACCGACCAAGAATGTCCTGGCTGTTGAAGAACCTTCTCAAAAATCTCCAAAAAAGCTGAAGACTATGATGACGGATGAGGTTTACTGGGAAGACTGGGAGGTATTGACATTAATGCAAAAACCCGACGACGACTCCATTCTTGCCTCTAGTGAGAATAAGTTCTGGTCCAACAACTTTGATGGGATGAAGTTCCTCTATGACCAGCTAAATGCCACCAAAGATTTCAACAAGGAAAAAAGCATTGGCCGTCAGAAGCTTACTCGGAACCTAAGTTCTTATCTGATGTGGTGCACTATACTGGCCCGTGGTCTGTTTGAATCCGGGGATGACTTGGAGGAAAGTTGTACCAGCCTTGAGAAGGAGGTTAAACGACTGACAGAGAGCGAAAAGTCTTATGCTGATAAGTGTTCATCTTTGGAAAAGAGTTTATCTAAAGAAAACCTGAAGAATAAGTCTCTGTCCAATGAAAATGAAGATCTTAAGACCTCCAGGACCAAACTTACCGATGAGCTGAATGCTGCGAAGAAGTCTTGTGCCAACTTGCAACAATCTTTGGAGAAGTCTCAGATGGATGTCCTTAATGTTAGAGATATGACTTTCGAACGAGAAAAGGATCAGGTGATGTGCCTCTATTCAGAATTGGATATCTCCTCCGTGGACTTCTTCAAGACTATTATGGATGGTAAGTTGGTGGATGTGGAAGCAAATGATGGGTCCTCGGTCACAGGTGATCCGGATGTCAATGACACCTCCTAGGCCGATGTGACCAAGTGATTTAGTCTTTTCCTTTTTGTATTTTTTAACAATTTGTTGTTAGTCACCCTTTTTAGGTGGGTGCTTTTTGTAATGATTTTAAATATTTTGCCTGTTTAGACAATTGCCCCGCCTTATCTTTATTGTACTTTTGTTTTTGCAATTTCTCTTCATGCCAATTTTATTTGTATGCCCATATACATGTAAGAGGAATATGGATATATGGTGCCCCCTGGTCACGTGATTTTGACAAAAACCATAGTGATTAGTTTTGAAAAAAGGCCTTAATCCTCTTTGATATGCATGACGCTGCTTAATAATAGGCCGGCCGCTATGTGAAGATAATTTCTTCCCGGCTCTACCCTTTTTATGATTTTGAACTCCGATTTGAGTAATCATTGTGAGGCATAAGAATGCCTTTTAAGCATTTGTTTTGCCTTCATTTTTAAGGCATTGCCCAAAACTTCTGATTTAAATATCTGTATAAGCTCATAGAAGTCGTGAAACATTCTTTAAGCGTCAAATTTTCCATGCAGAGATACTGCTGTGTAGGCGCTAGCCCCAAGTCTCTGGCTAGGCCAAACCACACATGCTATAAAGTTGACCCTAGTCGGCTCAGGGATACAACTTTTGAGTGTGCCTGGTTAAAGTACACAATGGGAGTCAACCTCTATTTTTTCTCAGGAGTGACCACGATAGGAGTCAACCTCTGTTTTTGCTCGCGAGTAACTGCGATGGGAGTTACCACTCGACAAGGAGTTAAACCTGGAAGGTTTCCCTTAGGCGGATGAAGACTTGAACCGAGGTGCAGAGCCTTCGAAAATGCCCTCAGGCAGAGTCTTGCGAGATTCGATTAAGGTAAATGCCTAAAAGGTTTCACCTGAGGCGGCCCAAGTTGGAACCGAGGTGTAGAGTCCGGAAAGGATACACCTGAGGTGCCCCAAGTTGGAATCGAGGTGCAGAGCCCAG